GTCTGGGCTGTCCCGCTGCCCCCGTGCTCCGCGGCTTTGCTCCGGACACCTGTGGTACAGCAGCTGGGGCGCTGCCAGTTGGTCCCGTAGCGCCCCAGCTGCTCTGCCCCAGGAGTCCTGATTCAGCCACTGGACGCCAGTTCCTACTTACATACAGATTCAACTTAAGAGCAAACCTACAGTCCCTATCTTGTACGTAACCCGGGGACTGCCTGTACTGCTCTCTCTATATGTCACATAGTGCTTCCTGGAGTTACTTAACTTTTTGCTGGCCTGCCCACTGAAATTCTTATATGGCACAAAAAAACTCCATTATTTATGCTTTGATGCTGAGCCCATCTCATGCTTTTGTTCATTTTATCTCATAGCTCAGAGAGAAGCAGGTTACATGGTGGACTAGTTGCCACAGAGAAGACCACAGATGACCATTTCTACTGCATGGTTGAGACCTACACGAAAGGAATGCTAAAGGGCCACATGTGGCTTATTGCTGCACTTGGACCTCTTCTACAGTACTTTGATCCTTGGATTCCTAAGGTAGGGTGAGCGTGCTTGTCCTTCAAACTCAAATATAAAGGCTGAGAGCAGCTCTAATTCAGATCTTTGCTTTCTCTTGCCACCAACCACACCTCTACTTGAGCACTCCCACCTCTTAAGCCCTCCTGTAATCTCTCCTAGAATTGCCAAGACGTTTCAGCTTGCTGATAAGCATTCTGTTTTCCAGCTACCATCTCTCCAACCAGTCACATCAACACCACTGTCCTTCTGTGTGCTGTATGAGATGGCATTCATCACCAGCCACTACTGCTGCCCTGCATCATCCACTCATCCTGCTTCCAAAGAGTTAAAGATTATTCTGCACTCAGTCCTGTAGTCTTTACTCAGGGTTCAATTTAATTGGCTTCAGTGGGGGTAAATCCTGATTAAGCACTTGAATATTACACACAAAAACATTAAAAATACTACTTGGAGATAAGGCACAATCACTATAAGCTACATGCATATGAGGAGACCTAACAGCCTTTGAATCTGCAAAACATGCTTATATAGTCTTAAAAGGTAACATAAGCACATCTAAAAATAAGTAATTACCTTTGCATGTGCCAAAGGTTATTTCAGTTTGTATATTAAGGACATTAAACACATCAAAGGAAAGGCGTTGTAAAACAAAAAAAAATCCAAAATCATTGTGTATCTAGAAATGAAGTAAAACTGACACCCAAAGAAAATCTGTAGGTAAAAATGAAACTCAGGCAGCATAGAGAAAACAAAATCTGAACTAGTAATTGGTTAAGATAAATCTACAGCAAAATTTGAAAGTCAAACGGTACCATTTTGTTGATTAATGTTGCAAGGATCAACCACGGGAACGTTGACAGGCACAAAACAAGCTGAGGAAACCTTCCATGCATTGGCATGAAGCTGTGGGGTTCCTTCAATCATCCCTGCTGGAGAACTGAAGGGAGAAGGAAAGATAAAGCAAAAAAGATCAGTATCTCCAGGTAGAAGGGCTTCTCGCACAGACTAATATTACTAATGTCTTTGCATTTGTTCAGATCTCCCTTACTTATCCATTGTTTCTACAGTGCATTCTTTGCCATCACTGCACTTTGTTTTAGAATCTTTGTAAAGGAATGAAATGAACAGAATTCTCATGAAACATTATCCTTTACAACTGGCAAATACAGTACCACCTCTGAAGGGGTAAAGTCTGTCCAGTGGGCCTGGTATAGGTACAGAAACATTTTGGAAAGTTAAGTATATTTAATCAAGGCCTATCCAGCATTTCTTGAATTATTACAAACACATGATTAGAAATTTGGTGTTATAAATTCTGTATAACATTCTTAAATAGATCCAATAATTTCAGTGAATCTGTTGTTGACATATGTTCTTGTTCCCCCTAAGCGTGATTTTTAAAAGTGCCTCAATGACTTAGGACCACCAATTCCCAAATGAACTTTGTGGTTCTAAGTCATTTGGAGACATCTACAAAATTAGATCCTTCGCTGTCATCTTGCCATAGAATTCAAGATGGTGATGCTGCAAATGGCCAGAGAGATACACACTGAGAGTCACTTCAGATTCAACACACATTTCTGCTTTCAGTTAAGTGCCAGACTTATGTAACTTGGATAGTTACTGAGAAATTGGAAATCTGTATAGATTCTAGAAACAGCAGTATTCATAAATTCTAGAAATGGAGTGTCTTGTGTTTTGACACAAGAAAGAAGAGCAGAGCCTTCATAATACATTTTTAAAGAAATAATTAAGCTAAGAAAACAAATATGAGAGATGAATCCTCTTCCAGGTTTCCAGTCTCCATTAGTCACCCCCAGCAAATAATAACAACTCTTACTTAGTGCTTTTCATCAGATCTCAAAGTGTATTACAAAAGGAGGCCCGTAGCCTTCTCCCCACTTTACAAATGGTGAAACTGAGGCACAGAGAGGAGAATGTCACCTCATAGGCCTGTGGCAGAGCTGAGAATGGGACCAAAGTCTTTTGAACCCTGATCCATCCACTGGGCCACATTGGGCCCAGTGTATAGATTTTACATAGAAAAATCTGTCCTTTTTCACAACATATTCAAAGGCACTAGCTTTTATATTTAAAAGTTTCTCTCTTCAGCTCACAAGCTGCTGGAGCAGTCGCATGGTCCATCAACTCTTGCCTGTGATAAGCAACTTAACCCCAGGGCCCAAGCCCCCCATAAGTAACAGACACAAGCTACTGTTGTGAATGTGCACATAAACTCAAGCTACTTTCCCAGAGAAAATTAATCAGAATGAGTCCTGCTGTCTCTAATGACCACATGGGTTCAAAAGTCAAACAACCTCAAATTCACCATTTAAAACACTCTTCAAAAAATTTTTAGCTTTCAAATAATTATAATAAAAGTCAGGTTCAGTTTCAGCTAATATTTTACTGATGCAGAAATTTCTGACCTCACTTCTACCCCACGTGACTACATTCAGGCTGTGTCTACATTGGCACGATTTTGCGCAAAAACATGCTGCCTGTCTACACTGGCCGCGAGTTCTTGCGCAAGAACACTGACATTCTAATGTGTAAAATCAGTGCTTCTTTCGCAAGAATTATGATGCTCCCGCTCAGGAATAAGCCCTCTTGCGCAACTGTTCTTGCCCAACAGGCCAGTGTAGACAGGCAACATGGATTTCTTGTGCAAGAAAGCCTGATGGTTAAAATGACCATCGGAGCTTTCTTGCACAAGAGAGCGTCTACACTGGCATGGATGCTCTTGTGCAAAAGCACATCTCTTGCACAAAGGCAAATGCCAGTGTAGATGCTCTCTTGTGCAAATACTTTAACGCACAAACTCTTGCGTTAAAGAGTATTTGTGCAAGATCATGCCAATGTAGACGTAGCCTCATAGTAGAGTTAGATAAGCCATGAGTGAGAGCAGAAGTTGGCCACTGCTAAAACCCACATGCTCTGTGAAGCATCATGAAATCTGACAAATAGCCAGATCACAATGATTTTTAATGTTGTATTCAGTAAGTTAAACAAATCTACTTTCAACAAAGAATTGGGATAAAGTTTGAAGGATTTTCAAGATGGCGTAGAAGTAGGACTGAAAGGAAGACAAAAGGTGTCCTTTGTGATTAAGGAATTCTTCTATTTAAAAGTTATGAGAATCCTAATAAAATTTGAGGGGAAAAAAATCAAGCAATAATGAAGGGAGAATGGTAGCAATATTGGATACTATCCTTTTTCCTGGCTTTAATGTCCTATGCTGATGGTTTGCATGCAAAGGAACTACCAGGAAATACCAGGAATAACATGGTTCAATTCACAGATGACATGTTAATCTTCCTTAAAAAGAAGGGAGGAGTAAAGTGATTTACAGGATCGTTTCTTGCCATATCATAGTCAAAAGATAAATCAGAATGGCCACAGGCTATTTTCCTTTGTTAAAAAATCATATTCAGTGTATAAATCAAATGAGAATAAAAAGCTTTACAAAAATAAAAAGCAATCTGCTAAAAAGTGAATTTTATTTATTGGTAAGAGTACACCAACTTCATCCCACCAGTAGAGAGCCATAAAATGGCTCAAGATTCCATCAGCTATACTCAGTATCTTCCTGGTGCTGCAACCCCAATAGAACCAAGAAATAAAGAAACAGTTAATCCTTTTGTGCTGGTGTTTCCCAGTAACCCCCTCGCCAGCAATGAACTTCATGCAAGGAAACCTGATCTCTGGCGTCAAAGAGTTAAACACTGATACAAAACCTGCCTTCTGTTAAGCATTTACTTTTACTCAGTTGGGGAATGAATCATCCTTCTGTTCTCTGAAACCCCTGTAGTAATTCCTGTAGAGTGCTGTCACTAAATCTAGTAGAGAGGATGAAGATGCTGTGGGACTCAAACAAGCTGCTCAATGGATTTTGTTTGTTTGTTTGACTAATGTTAAATACATTAACTAATATGCTCTCTGGCAAATATAACAGCACAATCATGATCCTGGCACACACATATCTGACCTCTGCCAATTCAAAGCACAGATGAGATGTAACAAATTAAAGCAACCCCTTAATCAATTCAGAGCCTATTTTTAATACAATATAGAAAAATACAACATATGCATATTCTGTGCATTACATAAATCTCTAGTGATCCATTTTTCTAACACTGCACTGTTATAAATAATCATTTATACATCTCAAAATACTTTGCAAACATTAGTGAGTTAAGCATTTTTCTGTGAAGTAGGTAAATTTTAGTCACAATTTTACACATGGGTAAACTGAAGTAGAAAGGTAAAATTACTTACTCAAGGTCACACTGCAAAAGCGAGAACAGTATCCAGGGGTGAAAACTTCATCCTACTGAAGTCAAAGGGAGTTTTACCAATGACTTCAATAGGGCAGAATTTCACATCAGGAATCCAGACTTCTAGGCCCCTTCTCTGGTCACCAGACAACATTCATGGGGCTATTGAGTGGTTTTAAAAACTTAAGTAACTAAGATTCTTGTATTTAAACTCAAGTGTTTCTGAGTAATTGGAATATGAAAGTATTCATGAAATCACTGTGTCATCTGACTAGATTTATCTGAATATTTCATCTGTTATTAAATTCAATATAGGCATATATAAAACAAACTTACAGAAAGTCATCTCTTAAGTTCCCATTAAAAGTTCCACATAGACCTAGTGTTCTTCTCTTCCAGCTGGTATTGACTTGTATATATAGTCTCTCCCCATTTTTAGCAAACTGAATCTTTAAACCAAATCTCGTTTTCAACTGCACAAACAAAGAAGACAGGTTCCGAATTTCGATGTCCGCTGCACATAACAGGAAAAAAAAACAGAGTCATTTTTCCTTGGTTAAAATATTTCCTACAGAAACCAGCCCCACAGTTTTAAAGGTTTTAACTTTTTTTTTTAAGTTTGAAAAGTAGAGAAATGCAATTAAGAAACCGTACACAACCTTACAACTCTAGAAATATCCCTGCCCACCCTCTACCAAAACATGTATGGAGACAACTGCATACCACACTGTGACACAGAAGCCCATGTGTGGCTTAATTCAGGTTGAACCTCTCTCAACTGTGACTCTCTGGTCCAGCAACATCTGTGATCCATGGATGTTGATGGACCAGACAGCCCCAGTGGACGGCCAGAGGCAGGAGCCATGTGGGGGCTGGGAACCCAGCCAGGCTGACTTCAGGAGGCTTAGCAGTGGGAATGCCAGCGGGCTGGGTCTGCCATAGCGGGGCCGTGAGCCCTGGCGGTGGGGCAGAAGTCTGCTAGGGTATGGCTACACTACAGCACTAATTCGAACTAACTAATTCGAATTAGCGCATCTAGACTTAAAAACTAGTTCGAATTAGCGTTTTGCTAATTTGAACTAGCATGTCCACATTGAGTGGACCCTGAACCGGGGTTAAGGATGGCCAGAAGCAGTGCCGGCAGGGCATCAGATTAGGACTTAGAGCATGGAGCTGCTGTC